GGAGCGGGCGGGGGCCGGGGCCGGTGTGCAGCCGGTGCGGAGCCGTTGGACGCGGGGCCGGTGCCGGCGCGGGCGGGGCCGTTGCCGCCGCCGTCTCCCTGGCAACAGCCGCGCCCCGCCCCGCCATTGGTCCAACCGCCGCGGGCCGGCCCCGCCGCGACCAATGGGGGCGCCGCTCCGGGCCACACCCACGGGCGGGGCCGCTCCCCGCTCCCGGCCCGGCGGCGTCGCGGCTTAAAGAGGGGGTTTAATGAGCTCCGCGGCAGCTCGTCCCGTTAATTAGGCATCCGTCGCCCTACCGCTCCCGGGGAGCAGGTCCCTTCAAGACCCGGTGCGAAGCAGGCAAAGCCCCGCTGCCCCGGGGAGCGGGCGTACGGCCGAGCCATCCGCGGACAGGGAAAGCACCAAGGACACGGGGACACCACGGCCGTGGCTCCTCTGGTCGCTGCATCCGCTGACTGCGGCTGTCAGCTGGCACCAAGGTGCCCTCCGCCACTCCCGGCTGGGAATGTCAGTGCTRTGCTGCTGCATAGAGCACAGAGCAATGCAGCCCCCTGCCCAGGGGTCCCTGAGCCCCCCAACCACCCTAAACTCCAGCAGAGGCCTGGGAAAGTGTGATTTGGGACCCCCTGTCTGCTGCTGCTCCTCCTCTCCTCCCTGCAGCGCCCTCCCATTCCCCAGAGAAAGCCAGTAGAGCTTTGCCGTGGTGCTGCAGTTTCATAAAAACATACATAAATATATTTCCATTTCTGTAACAGAGAGCAAAGCTGCACAGGCACCTATAAAACACACAGTCGCTTCTCCACCCAGCGCTCCCCGCACAGATCGTATAAAACATATAAAAGGGGCGCGGGAGACAAAGGCTGCAGGTGAAGCAGGGGTGCRGTGCCAAGAAGAGCCTCGCTGGGGCACAGGGAGCTGCCAGGGGTCCCTGCAGCATTGTCAGACTCAGAACTTGTGCCTTCTCCGGCGGGAGCCTTTGGTCTGTTGCTGGCTGCCCATACGGAGAGCCACGCGTGGCTCCGAGTCCACCACACCGTCCATGGCTTCCAAAGAGACGCTGGGTTTCGCAGGGGGGATATGGAAAGGAAGGTACTGAAGGGAGATGGGGCTGTCTGCCAATGGCTCCCCATCAGCAGCTGAGAGTGTGGGAGAGGACTGTTGGTCTCCTAATCCAGTGACGGGAGTCCCCGCSTCAGCACCTGCAACAAAAGCACACRTCAGCCCTCCTGTGTGAGCCACGGGTGCTGCCGAGAGCACCTCTCCCCCCTCAYCTCCTCCTGTCCTTGGATCCACGGAGGGAATTGCTGGTGCACAAGCCTCCCACATTCCCCAGGACGTCCATTGCACTGGACATGTCTTGGTGCAATGGTTCAGAGCACATCCCTATCCCTGCAAGGACCTTGGGCTCTGGTGTGGGTCCAGTGGGCTCACGTCCAGCAGCTACAGACAGGGATATGAGCAGCCAGCTGGGGAATGCTGACAGCCAGTTAAGCCCAYAGCCTCCTGCTCTGCTCAGAAGCAAGAAACCTTTCTAAGGGRAATTTGCTCTCCCAAAACAGCCCGTGCTGAGCTGGGACCAAAAGGGGAAAGCTGGGAAAGGGCAGCCCTGACCCAGCCAGGCTGGCATAGAAAGTTTTCCACCTTCAGACTTGCTCTCCGAGAGCTCCAGCATCCTGAGGAGTCCTCCCTCCTGCTTTCCGGTGTCCTGCCAAGGAGAGGAGAACCACCATCACAGCGCTGCCACAAGGGAACCCCTTAGCCAGGATGGCCCCGTGGGCACTTGTTCCCCCTGCCCTCAGGTTCAGGCTGGGCACAAGAAGAAACCCTGTTTATGCAGGGCCTCCAGCCACTCGTGGGAAGGACACTGCTCTGTGCCCAGCCCAACGAATGCTCAAGCAGAGGCAGCAGAGAGCAGCTAATCAAGCAGAACCCGGCAAAGAGGGAGGCCAGGATGCCACCCCCAAGCCCAGCCAGCAAACACAAAGCTGTGACAAACGGGGTCACCAGGGGCTCTGGCACAGCTGGCACACATTCCCCAGCACTGCATGTCTGAGGGCAAACTCGTCCCACTCTGCCCGAGGGTACTGTGGCTTGGTGCTGGAGGGAAAAGCCTTCCTTTYAACACACCTCGTGCCCTCTCTCTGCCCCTGGGAAGATGCAGCCATGYTGGTCACATGTGCTAGGGGAAGACCACTCAGCCTGGTGGCTTTGACGTCACTGGCCCAGCAAAGTCCCCTCTCCTGGCTGCCCCTGCCCCCCGAATTGCTCTGGAAGGCACTGGCATCCTGGCTGTGGGGCTGGAGCTGCAAATCAGCCCAAAATGGGCTATAGCAGGAAACTGCAAGCCCAACAATGCCACTAGGAAGCTTTGCAATGGCCCAGCTAATGCCCACGCTCCCCCMGTGAGATGTCACCTCAGCACAAGGCAGGGTCAGAGATAACACACAGCCTTGCTGAGCCTTCCCAAACAGACCCCTGGCTGTAGCATCTTTCCCCCATTCCCTGTGCTGTGCCTGCTTGCAGAACCCACACGCCAGCCAGCTCTGGGGCACAGGGACAGAGTCAAACAGCCCCCACAGAGCCGGTCACATGCAGGAGCAGCCGTGCCCTGCAGTACTCTGAACCACACAGCACTTGGCTGTATCCCAGCCAAAAATCATCAACCAGAAATCTCATCATTTGCATCTGAATCCCCAGCGGGCTGAGGTCTGTGATGGATTTAAGGGATTATACAAAACTAAGACATCATGTTGCATCTTCATGCCGTGAATCACATTTCTGAGCGCAGGCAAAGCTGCAGCACTAGGGTTTTGCCTGCAGGAACCAGCAGGAAGGCCTGGAAGGACCCTCTCTGTGCTCCCCTGGGACTGCCACGAGCAGGAAAAAGCACAGTGGGGGCTAACACCTGGCCAGTGACTGTGAGGCAGCTTCCACCCATGCTCCTGCCTCCCACCTCCTCTAGCAAGGCTCGTTCCCCACACCCAGCACACCTCCACCATGCCCACTCTCTCACAATTTTCTCGGGATGCTCCCAGGACTGAGCAATTCCCCCTGCTCTGGCTCCACAGCCTTCCCCATCAGAATAGGCTCATGGACAGTCAGAYAGCCTTGTCATCCTGACGCTGGCCTCCCCTCCATCGACATTCAGCCACGGAAGGCTGCAGGACTGAAGCGTGCTGGCTGGCAGTGGGACAGCCCTGGCTGCCTGCCCACTGGAGAGGCTGCTGGCAGCTCTGCTGGATTAGCTCACCCCTGGGACCGGTCTGTGCTCTCGCAGAGYGTCGTGGGAAGGAGGGCAATGAGTTCTCTGTCCACAGTGGCCCACAGGGACAGGCAATCTTACATCAGGTCAGCTCATCCCTGTCAACCAGGGAAACGGCTCCTGCTGCCAACCCAGCCCCACACCCAGCACAAAGGAGATGGTGTGCAGGGTCACCCCTCACCTTGGCTCTTCGCAGCCTCCTGGTTCCCTGAGCTTGCCTAGCAGCCTGAAGGCAGCTGTCCACGTGCCTCTGATACTGCAGCAGTGGCACCAGTGACTTACAGAGGTAGCACTTCTCACACCTGCCAGGCAGCAAAGGACAGAGCACTGCATTAGGATTCACCCTGCACCGGGCTCCCAGACTCCAGCGGTGATTTTCCTCCTCCAGGCCACGCCATGGAGAAGACGTGTCACCAGATCCAGTCTCGCTCAGTGGGGTCAGGCCGGCACCAATCGCAAAGACTGAGTGATTATCAGTTTTCCCTGCCTGTTCCTCTGTATCCTGCTGCTGCAGCAGCGGGACGGTAATCAAATCTGCTCATCTAACTATCTCAAACACCACTGATTTCTCCCCAGACATAAAGCACCCTGTCAAAATCTACAGMAATGAACTGCAAGGGCTTTGCAAAGGGGAGTTAAATTCTGCCTGAAAAGCAAACCAAGTGTGTTAAATCAGAGAGACATTTTACCAGGGCTGGATGAACTTGTCTGACTAGTAAATCAAGTCTTTCTCTGCACTGTCTCCATTTTACATCATGCCATGCAGGGAGAGGAATTGCAGAGCACTGCTCCTGCTGGGGGGTTGGCTCAGCCTGTTTCTCAAACCTCCTTGTTTGGGTGGAAGATGCTCGGGCTCACGCAGGACAACTGAGTGTTCTTGGGAAAAAAAATTATTCTGGGTGAAAGGAGATGAAGGTCAGGCATGGATTTATACAACTACTGCTTCCACACCAGCTCTCAGCAGGGACTGAACCATGCAGAAGAGGACATTGGCTCTCCAGGAGCTACACTCAGGAATGGACTATCTCCAGGAAGAGACAGAGCCCCCAGGGACCAGCCCCARCAACATTGTGTTCAGTTTGATAGTGGTACTCTCTCAGTGAAACACCCCAGGCTCTAAAATGCATATGGACAGCCCCCATCAAGCAAAACTCTGCAGCACTTTTTCCCGTATTTTCTTTCCAGTCAGTGCTGATTACCCAGATAATGTGTCTAAACAGAAGCTGTCCTCTCTATAATTAGCCTAATTCCATTAGTGATGTTGCCATCCACTGTTTGTAACAGCAAAATTGCTTCCATAGCAGGGATTTTACTGTCAGATCCTCTCTTATGATGCTTTGTGTGGGTGGCAGGAGGAGGGGCTGCATGGAGAGAGATTAAACAAAGCCACTGCTATTCTGAAAGTCTAATTTAATTAAGAATATCACTACAGGTGCCATGTTGACAGCCTCCATGTCCTGGCCTCTTCTTTTCCCGGGGTTACCAAGCTCAAACCTCCCATCAGAAACTGGCTGAGTTAGCACCATTTTAGCT